TCTTGGCATCTTTCCAGAGCTGGTCAATTGTGACATCGCAACATTGTTTGGCCATGTGTACAAATCTCATGTTTCTTCCAAGCATGATGGGAAAAAAGGTGATTTGGCAAATGGCTGCAATCATTGTCATGTTGACGGATGCATCCAGTGGTCCATCCCAAATTGCCTTTGACCTCCATTGAAAGACTGATCGTTTCCCATTCGGCTCAGCCAATGCATCCAACAATCTACGTGTAGCTACGACCGTTAACAGCACAGAGAATGCGGATGCTGGGATCGGATGCGTCTGTTCAAAAACTACCTTGGAGCAATCTGACATGTGCGTGACACGGACTTTCACCTTCAAATACTTCAGCGTGTCATGGTGAAAAACGGATGCCCACATGGAAGCCATGATCTTCCTGGCTTCTACTTCCCCTTGGATGGAGAACGTTGTTTGCATCTTTGACACATCTGTCATGTAGGAAATTTGAGTGGATCGATATGCCGCCATGACAACACAAATGTTCTGTTCAAGGGGAGCATGCTTCACACGTTGGTCAAAGAGCATCGAATTTTCATAGTACTTTTGTCCCTTCGACAAGATACCAAATTGATCATACATCACATGTTCCAGTTGAAGTTCATTGAGTTGGTCAACAACCTTGTTCTTGGTATCCAATTTCAGAAACAGAATCGTTCCCTGTTGCAGGCATGGCATGACAAATCCATCCGGTTCATCCAAACTTTGAACTTGAGTCATGTGTCTCAGGGTGAAGGCAAACCCATGTGTGTCCATTTCACATTCAATCAATTTCATCTGTCCATCAAATTGATGAATCAGTTCATGTGGTGGGACATTCGGATATATCCATGCTGACATGTTCTCCTCTGCAAGTTCAACCTTGATTTTCATCATCGCTTGGAAAGGTACCGTCATTGAGACATCATCATGTTTGGATTCAACCTCTGTGATTTGTGATGTTTCATCAGCAATGGCATACATCTTCAATAACTCATGCGTTTCAAGCAATCCATCACTCGGTTTCCAGAAATGATTGGGTGGCAAACGAAACTCACTGTCAATCCTTTGAAGAAGTTCAAAATTTCGAAGGCATTGCATCCACTCTCGTTTGTTGTCACCTTGTCGCACAATCATGCTGGCTGTTTCACTGGCGATGTGTTGGCAATATGATACACGGAGACGGTTCTGGAAAAGTGCATCAAAGACCTCATCAATCTTCAGCAATTCCCGCCCCGTTTGAATCATGTTGATTGCATTGGCCATCATCAACAGGGCATGTGGACATGAAATCATGTTACCTGTGTGGACCCATGCTTTGCACAAGTCATGCTGGTAAAACACTTCACCAAAAGTCACATGCGCCATTTGGATTTCTGCCGGATGCAACAAGCGGAGCTCTGAGTCCTGCTCTAGGAAATTACCATAGTATCCCCTTTGTTCAAGGGTTGTTCTGCAAAGCGTGTGTTGCTGTCCATAGAGCGACATCACAGTTGGTTGGACTTCCTCAGCTTTGAAGGTTCTTGCTTTAAGGACTTCATCACCACTGGCATTTTTGAGCTTTTTGAGCATTGGCGGCAAAAATGTGGTATCCTTGGCACATGCTAGCATGAGTGGCGTCAGTTTCAATTCGGCTCCCTCTGGGGGCATCTTGTTGAAAACTGCATCTAGCATTTCCATGTTGAATTGTCCAATGTCAGGCCACATCTGGAAATCGGCTGTTCTGATCTGCTCTGCATGTCGGTGAATGGCAATTGCTAACCATCGGATCCTGGTGACCCCTCCAAATTTTGCCGAGTCAATCACCTTCTGTGCAACTACTTGATACCCTACATGCTTCAACACATCCATGCAAAGGTTCTTGTGCCTATGTGTGGCAAATGCATTGACCTGTTCAAGCACTACAACCAATGGACGTATGTGTCTGCATCGCAGAATGGCTGATGGCAACAAACTACCCTGATCTGAATCCAGGCCGGATCCTTTGGAAGCCCCTGACCATGGTGGGCATGGTGCGCTAATGCTCATGACATGAACACCCCATTCACAAATTGCAGGAACCCATGCATCATCATCAATGTCACCCAAAACGATAAAGTCACTGTTCCATTGGTCAATGTTTTGGGGCAAGGCCGTACTCACAGAGTCTACCAAGATTGCATCATGTGACATGGAGTAGTACTTGCAGGCTTCCATGGAGGCGTCAATTCCAACCGTTTGCATTGGTACCTGGAAGACTTCTTTGAGAAATCGACTGGCATGTTTCCATCCTGCATAACCCCCTGCAAAAAGTTCCAGTATGTGAAGCTTTGTCATTGAGGGGACTTTGATGGGAAGCACCATGGTGTGTTCATCAATTTCCCAGGCACAATCATATCTATTGTGATCCCAGCATGTGTCGCGGACATTCCACAGGAGCATCTTTGTTGTCGTTTGCACTGTAATGGGTTTCATGCAGGAAACCAAGACACTGTCATCACATGTCATGTCAGGCAACCCTGGGAAACATCTGTTGAGATACATTGCACGACTCGATCCCTCTGGAGTGGCATGCTGTCCTTTCAAAAAAAGGTGATCATCCTTCCATTCCATGCTGGTGTTGTCCAAAAGAATATTGTGCCGGGGTTTCAACCATTGCACCCCATGCTGCCCGTAGACATCATACCCAGCCAGCAAGTCATCTAACTTGGGGGGGATAGCAAATGGATCCATGGCAAGAAGTGGCAAATGTCGAGGATCAATTAGCCCACCGTCTTTGTGGGACACACCCACCGCTTGAAGGTTTGATCCCAAAGTGCACCTGAAATAAGGCTATCTTGGGGATGATTTCCCTTACTAACCATGATTCCAGTGAGGTCGCAGTGAGGTCGCTATAATTTACCCAGATTCAATAAACCATTCATGTGGTTTCAAAGACCTGAACCAATTCTGACTACCCATCCATGCGGGTGAGGCGATGGACAATTTTGTAGGACCCTGGGAACCATGAAATTTGGCGATTTAAAAAATGTTGATTTATCCAGGACAAAATCGTGATTTAAACAATAAAATGAGGAATTTCATGGAATTTTAAGTTTATCTTGGTATGATTGAATTGTAGAAGATGGTATATTGTTAAATAAGTTAAATATTACCCCCTGGTAAACTAACATTGCTATGGAAAATCACAATTTTTAATAGGTAAATCAACTACTTCTATGGGCCATTTTCAATAGCCATGTTAGTTTATTGGAGGGTATATCTGGGTAAATTACAATAATTCATTAACTTGACATAAGACCACTTTGGGGATATCATTCCCCTGAAATAGTGCCATCCTTTCCAGTGAAAAAAAGGCATATACCCTCTGGTAAACATACAAAAAAATATGGAAAATCACCATTTTTCAATGGGAAAATCCACTATTTCAATGGCTATTTTCCATAGCAAACTGTTAGTTTACCAGTGATATAGGCATATGCATACCCTCTGGTAAAGTAACATAACTATGGAAAGTCAGGCCATTTTCAATAGCAAACTGTTAGTCATTACCAGAGGGTAAAATGTCATGATCTCCAGACCTTGGGAGACGGTCTCCCAGAGTTGCTCGACGGGCTCGCAGGTCTCTTCCTGGCTAAGCCGCGCCGCAACGCTTAGCCAAGTCATTCGATCGTGGGATATCACGGGATACCCATGGAATATATATATATATCTGGGTAAATTATAATATTTCACTAACCTGAATCTTGCGGCCATTTGGGGATGATTTCCCTTACTAACCATTATTCCCAGTGAGGGAGAACAGTGAGGTCGCGATCAAATTTACCCAGATATATGGGATATCATGGGATGAACAACAGTATGAAGTTTTAATATCCAAAGAGATACCCGGCCTGGTAATGACTGTTAGTATTAGCAGATTCCTCTACCATGATTCACTTAGAGATTTTCGCACACAGAATGTCTAGCAGCAGGGTTTGCACTGCCACGCTAAACACCTATTACTGCCACGCCCTCTGCCACCCTGGAAGCCTTTGACTGCCACGCTGAAACCTTTCAAAACACATATTACTGCCACGCAAAACACCTATTACTGCCACACCCTCTGCCACACTAGAAACTTACTAGAAACCTTTTACTGCCACGCTAAACACCTTTTACTGCCACGCCCTCTGCCACCCTGCAAGCCTTTACTGCCACGCCAAAACCTTTCAAAACACATATCACTGCCACGCCCCTATCACACTAGAAAACCTTTACTGCCACACCACTGCCACACGACTGCCACACCACTGCCACACCACTGCCACACCGCTGCCACACCCCTGCCACACCACTGCCACACCACTGCCACACCGCTGCCACACCACTGCCACACCACTGCCACACCGCTGCCACACAACTGCCACACCACACCACTGCCACAGGATGTTTGAATATGTGGTTTCAGTTTCAATATATTGGTGGTTTCCTGCGTTTGAAGTCTAACAGTCTAAACAAAAAAATCATCAAGTTGAGTCAACACCGAAGTGAAGAGAACATGAACTAAGATAAGGGCTGAAACGGCTTGTGCAGCTGCAGCCAATAATCAATGAATCAAAGTGCAATCCTTTTTTCCCAACCGCTGGTGAGATCAATGTCTTTCATTGGGCTGGCCCCGCTGCAAAGGCAGTCCCTCACGCCTTCGCTTTTTGGGCACACAGCCCCTCGGGTAAAGTAAAGTAAAGCTAAGGCTAAGACTGCAGCTACTGAGAGATGTACGCAAAGCTACAGCCTGGCCTAGCCAAGCTACCATGAGCCGAGGTAACCCCGTAAAAACACCAAACTATAAAGACCAAAGCAGTGTCAGCTAGCTTGAATCTGAGACTACTATACTAACTAATACTATATAATACTATACTTCTATACCGATAATATTGTTATATAAGTAAGAAAGGATATATCATGAATAGAAAGTTGAAGTTGAAAAAATACTTCAACAGAAAACAGCTAAATCTGAAACATCAACTCTCTCGGCTGTTCAGGTAGACATTTGCGAGTTGAATTTTTTCTTCAAACTCTCATCTTGTAACAAAGATTCTAACTTCTGGCAGATGGTTGGGCTTGGCCTCATACCTGCCTTCATCACGCCATGAACACACTTCTCTACCTTTTCAAGTCTGGGGTCTTTGCCCGATTTGGATTTTTCATCGGACACGGGGCTGTACAGGGCCGTCAGACCAACCAGATTTGCTAGCATCACATTCATCGGTTTAATCTTGCTGTTGAGATCCTTGAGTTTCTGACTCATCTGTTCGATTCCCTTTTCTTCCCCTAGAGCCAGCTTTTCACTAATGCTGGCAAAAGATGCTTCCAGGGCCTTGTGGTGGTTCGTCAATTTGTTCACCGCAACGTAGAACAAATCGGAGTCAGCATGGGCAATCGAAGCTTTGTGTGCTTCTGGATCCTGCACGGCTTGCTGACATTGACTATGATTATTATTATTATTATGACATGATTAATGATTAACGATTAAAACTAAATTGATTAAATTGATTTTTAGAACTTAGAATTTTGAACTTTAGAACCTAGAAATTTAGAATCTAATTTTTACTACTTGGATCTTGAAACCTGAGTAAAGTAGGAGTCATGTTTCTGACTGTGACTGACTACGATCCACAAACATTTTTTTTATATGGAAAACGGATCACAGAAACTGCTGCTAAGCTGCTACAGCAAACTTCTCAACCAACAAGGATACTTAACAAACATGTTTGAGTTTCAAGTTTGGAGGAATGCTAAGTGCTAACATTTTCCTCCAAAACTCAAAATAAAAAAAACAGCATGCCGGACCCTGCCTCCACATGCTTTGAGCTCACGGCCAGTTTCAGCAGGACTTGGAGGGAGTCGCCATCCTTGCCGTCCAAGAAAAAAGCCATTGACTCCACACAATCTTGCTCATGTGCGTTGATCACATTCTTGAGAAAGGCCACCACATTCTCCTCAAACTTGTCCTTGCAAAAGCACAGGTACTCGTTGACCCGCTTGTGGCCCGACAGCTTGATATCTTCAAGGGCCTTCAGAAGCAAGCTGTGAAGAAACCCGTGTGTAACCCCTTGCCAAGTGTTTAGAGTTTAGAGTTTAGAGTCTCTAGATTTAGACTTTAGACTTCGACTCTATCTAAACTCTAAACTCTAAACTCTAAACTAAACTATATAAACTTAAATTCTAGACTCTTAGACTGCAGGTTCTAAACTCTAAACTCCAAACTCTAAACTCTAAGCTTTTCAACTAGACTCTAGACTCTAAACTATAAACTATAAACTCTATGACTCTATAAACTATAAAAACTCTAACTCCAACTGTCTTTACAGTCGAAGTCTTAGAGACTTTGAGTTTGAGTCTAAGTCTAAGTTCTGGATTCTAGATTCTAGGTCTAGGTAGGTTTCCTCTCCTAATAAAAACTGATGAAATTCAAAGAAAGGATTCAGATTCAGATGATACAGCCCTTCTGTTTGTCAGTCTAACTTTGCACAACATCTCTTATATCCAACCCACTCCCACCCTTTGGCCTGGCGTGCTTGCAACATATCCGACTGCAAAGTCAAGAGCTTCTGCAAGTACTCAGGCTGCTTGCCTTTCATCTCAGCAGGCTTCTGCTTGGAACCCAGAAGTTCCTTCCAAAAGTGCGGATGGGCCACTCCTTCGCCAATCTGGTTCACCAGCTTGACGACAACAGAAGATGCCGGTGCCATGGCGGCTACATTGCAGAGGTCAAGAGTGCTGATGCCACCAGGGCTCAGAGCTGCACAATGAACTTCGTGGCCATCACTGAAGTCATAAAGCTTCTTCACCTCCTTGATCTCCGAGACCACCTCTGTCAAATTGGCGGTGACACAGGATTCCTTGAAGAATTCTGCCACCGGAACATCCAAGCCCAACAGCCCTGTGACAAGATCTTTCGCGGGGACCAAAGCCACAGCAACTTGATTCCCCGCATGTTGAACCAATTTCTGGAGAGCTTGGTCAAGGGTGCCTTTGTTCAAAGTTTTTTCTCCTTCCAGCACGATCTCCAATTCCCTTCGCTCTACAAATGACTTCAGGTCCAGAAGGGTTTTGAAATATGTTCCGCAAGGACCTTGCACCAGTTCTGTGAGTTTGCAAGGTTTCTGTGCAAGAACTTGCTGAACAAGGGAGATAGCTGCGGGGATTCTTTGGAGGAACGGCTGAAGTGCATGCACATATTCCTCAACCACCTCGGAATGGTGCCCGAGGATTCTGCTGAAATTTGTTCGGCTCTTGAAGTCAAAGCATGCCATGGCTTTCAAATCCTTGGCGACCTCGGGGCTTTCGAAATCAATCTGGTCATTCTTCATGAAAAGGCAAAATCCCAGCAATGTCTTCCATGTGGGGATATGGCAGCCAAGTCGTTCCAACAAAGCGTCTTTGATGACCCCTGCCAGCTCCAACTGCTTCTGGTAAACTATGTCGAAGTCAGCCTCCACAACTTCACGCAAAGCATGGTTCGAAATGTTGCCCTGCACACTTGCAAGGCGTGTTGCAAGATCAGCCCACTTTGTCACGTCAGGGAAAACCAACTGATCATCATCACACTTCCCATGTCCGCAAAGTGCAGCAGGAGTTGGCACCACCAGCTCTTTCAGAAGGGACTTCCTCAGAACAAAATTGAAGAATGAAGAAAGTCAGCAAAACACCTAGGACCTAAGCCCCTTGGCTAATGGTTGCCCATGTATTCCATGCCTCTGTGCCATCACAGAAAATGGCTTAAGTCTTGTCTTTGAGAAACAAAATGACACTTCCAACTTACACTGCGCCCTTAAGTTAGAAGTTCAAAGTTTAAGGGTTTGAAAAGTTTAAGTTTAAGTTTGTCGTTTAAGTCTAAGTAGTTCAAAATCATCTAAAGTCTTGTAGTGTAAACTTGTTTAGTCTTGTAGTGTAAACTTGTCTAAGTCTAAGTTTAAAGTTTCAAGTAGTTTAAAGTTGAAAGTACAATGGCCGAGCATCAAGCTAACCATTTCCAAGCAAACAGCCTTCTTTGTTCGCAGGAATGCTATGTACTCAGCGAGGGATTCCGAAATCTTGGCACCCATGGGCTGGACCAAGAAGGTCTTCTTGAAGGGACCATTCATCAAGGATTTCATAGCCGATTGGTATCTTGTCATGCTCTCCTCGGTTACACTGTCAAAGGTCAGTTCCATAGCAGAAAGCGCCAGCATCGCGAACTCAACCTGCTGCTGAAATTCTTTGGCCGGTGACATGACGACAAGCTCACCATCCTTCTCAACATGCTCCTGACAGTTCTCAGCCAGAAGGTGAAAGGTATCTTTTAGACTTTCCGACAACTACGACTAGTAAACTAGTAACTAGTAAGTAACTTAGTAACTACTGTGGATGAAGAAGCAATAGCGGAAATCAGCAGCTAGCACATATACAAATGCAAATACATAACCATCATACTGTTACTATTCTTTAGATTATTAGATATATTGATGTATTGATTATATATATATAACACATATATATATATATAAAGCATATGTACATATATATTTATTATATCTATTTTTTAAGTGAGTGTTATGATATGATATTGATATTGATATTGATATTTCATAATGTATATATATATACAATTATATATAACTTAACTAAATAACACAAAAAAATGCAGAAACTTCTCCAAGTATCAGAGATCGTTCGCAGAAGAGAAACTCCTTTTGAAGCAATCGGCCTGGCTTCTTTGCTCTGCCGGGGGAAGTCAGCCACCAAGATTTCCAGAGCTGCTGCGACACCATGCTTCAAAATTTCCATCTTCGAAGCAGGTTTGAGCGAGGTACCGGTAAGAGCCTCAAGCAAGTAGGACTGGATAGCTTGCCAATCACCAGCCTGCTGGTAGCATGTGATTGTCCTGACCGCAAGGATGTCGTGAACAGCCGGCGAGACTTTCACGTTGGACATGACTGCGTGTGACAGCGCAGCCCTCATAAATTCTGGCTTCAATGGCTCACCCTCCGCCGCCCCCAAAGATTCAACCAATTTGTGTGAAGCTTTCAACTGCTCCTCCACAATCCGGAGGCTTTCGATGAGCTGCAATCCCTTGGCTTTCTGTTCAGGGCTTCCACTGGTAATGGAATCCATAGCCTCTGGGGTCAAACGGCCAGTGACTTTCTCGATGGCTGCAGTCCACTTTGCCACGGTCAATGTAAAGATCCCCTGCGTATCATCAAGACCTTGCAGGAGGTTGCAGGCTTCTTGATAAGCTGCATCGGTCTTGTTGATATCCTTGCTGCTAGAAGAATTCGCAGAAGCAAGCCCTTTGGCACTTTTGCCACCCTTCCCTACCTTTTTGCCCTTGGAAGTGCCTTTCCCTTGTGCCTGCGCAAGTGCTACCTGCATGGTGCTCAGAGCCATGGAATCAGGTTCTTTTTCTGGCTGCTTCCCTGTTTTTCTCCTCTTTGGTGGGTTCTGGTTCTGAGCTTCTGCATCTTTGGAATCTTCTAACTGCGGCTGGGACTTTGCTGCGGCAAGAGCTTTGGCCGCAGCTGACGAAGACCTTTTCGACGTCGGCTGGCTATCTTCTTCCTCTGCTTCCTTTTCGTTGTCGTGATCCTACAGAGAAAAGGGCAGGAGGATATACTAGTAAACTACACTTTGCAAAACTAAACCAATCACCAAACACCAAACTATACCTTTACTCTTCTGCTTTACCTCGGGATTTAATATAATATATGTTTAATATATTTAATTTATATGGTATATAAGTTTGGTGATATAGTCTGAGTCTAGTCTAGTGGCTAGTGATACAATGATATATTATAATATTGTCTTTTTATCCGACGAGATACAACAAGTTACTTACAGTCCAGTAAAATTCCAATTTTCATATATACTAGCAGCTAGCACTAGCCCCTCATATTCTAATCCTAATTCTAATGAATCAGTCGGCTGGGAAACTGAACACATGTTTTTGGACAAGAAGGAAGCCTCCGCATCTGCTTGGGATTCCTCTGCAGATTCTGCAACAGCCTTCTTGGACTTGCTCCCCTTGGAAGATGCTTCGGTCAGGCCACGGTTTCCCCACAAATCATCCAAGTCAGTGTCAAGCAAAGCAGTCAAAGGGTTTGCCCCGCTTCCTTTCCCACTCATCGCGATACCAACTGTGCCATCCTTGTCCACTTCAATGCCTCCACGGGACAATTTTGTGCAGAGACTTTGTGATTTTCGAGTTTAGAATTTTGGAAGCAGTGTTAGACTGTTAGACCTGACTGAAACTTGGGTAGGCAGTTGGTTGAAGTTGAAACCAACATTTGAAAATGGAATGCAATGTAAAGTCAAGTGGTAAAAATGAGATTTTGAACCTTGGCTCTTTCGGAATACCCTGCCTTTCACCTGCGTTCTTTTCTGCATTGCGCCCCATGTCTGGGCCACTTCGCCCTCATCGATGGAATTTTTGGAGTTCAGAATCTCACCCGCCTACAGCGTTTGGGTTTCAGTGCTCAATGAATAAAATTGTTGGTGTATTTTTGGGCTGGGTGCATGCCATCGAAACCATATATGAAATACCATGCCTGAAGAAAGTGCATGATAATAAATTGCCAAGTGATATTGCTGTCTTGTTTCATTGACTCAAGTAATATAAAAACAGATATACAAATATGTTTGAAATATATATATATATACACACTATAATATCAATATGTCAAAATTCAACATGGGTCAAATGTAAATTTTGAAAACTTGCGACCCAAACAAGAAACCAACAGTGAAAGGCACCTGCTGAACGAACCTCTTATCCTCACCGTACATTGCAATCGAGCCCACAGGGCGGCCATGCGATTCGTCCAAGATGACTCCCCGAAGCGGTTGTCCCTGATAGGTGATCTTGCCTCAATGCAATGGGGTAGAGACAGGGTCAGGAAACATGAATGTTAACTTGTATTTTGAAACTGTTGAAAAGAAGAAAGAGAGACGGAAAGACGAAAATAGAGAGAGAGAGGGGAGAGACATAGCTTAGTATGCCTTGACTTGCGTTGACTCCACGACTAGATTCCAGATTGTATGATCCAGCCATCGTTAAGTTAAGTGATCAAAAGATCAAAAACATTCACAAACCAAAGTCTTCCAGCCTTCGACTTAGATTCGAATTTCAATTTTAAACTTTAGACTTTAGACTTTCGAACTTTAGATCTTATTTTAGATTTAGATTTCTTATGCTTCAAGTCTGGTTCCAAATCTTGTTCTGCCTGGGCACGAATGGGAAGGGATTTCTCTGGCGTCTGGCCCTTCACTCTCTTGTACACATCCATCGGCCAAAAATATCCTTGCAACTGCTCCATACGCAAGCCTGACTCCTGTCCTGCTGAGAGGGACTTGTCCATGGTATCTCCCATCTTACGTCGCTTGTCCTTCTTCTCGTTGCTCTTGTCATTGTCCTTAGCCTTATCATCTTCAAATTCCTGCAACTCATCCATGTACTGGTCATACTCAGAGGGAGTCTGCAAAGTCTCTTCAACCTTACTGCTCATGGGTAAGGCCGTGGTGCAATCTTTTATCAAGAGTCATACCCGTGGTGGATTACAGTTACAATTACAGGATTACAGTATGTCAGTATGTACTGTTGGCTGGGCGTCGGTACTCTACCAGGTCTACAGTGTAGAGTCTACGGTGTCTACAGTCTACAGTCTTGTACTACAATCTAGAATCTAGAGTCTGGAACCCACAATTTTAAGTCAGAAACTAGATAACATATTTGTACTTTGGCCCTTGCGTTACTTAGACTTATACTTTGTTCACACCTTGTCTTGTTAAACACAATCTTCGGTTTGTGTATTTGAGGCAAGGAACCCTGACACCACGAAACTTGTCCGGGGTGTTTCGCCGGGCTTGAAAACTAAAGCAAGGCTGGCAAATGTTGCCTCTCTCACGTCTCCATCGCAGGGTCAATTGACCTGTTGAAGCTGCAAGCTCCTCAGACATTGTGGTATTGGGGGTGCTAAAGCGCCCCCGCCGGCAAAATTTGCACACGGAATCCACTACATTTTCTGGGACGGGAAGCACTGGTAGATCTCGTCGAGGCATTAGGCCAACTAGGTCGGCGAGGTTGGCCCAAATGGAACAGAGAGAGATCAGAACTCTTCACACTTGATGCTAGCAGCTATCTAAATCTAAAGAATCTAACCAAAGAATCTGAATCTAAAATCAAAGTCAACAACAAGAAGTGCAACCACAGGCACTTCAAACAAAGTGGCAATCAGCCATCGGCCGTTCTACATAGAAATTCGATGACATTCCGAACTCGCAGACACCTAGCCATAGTCACTAGTCAGTGTTTCAATTCAACAACATCGCAACATGTTGCAAGCTGACCGCATTCATTTTTCAGGAAGCTCGGCTACTCTACTCAGGGTTAGGTGACCTCGACTCTCATCAATCATCGAATTATTCAGATCCTAAGTCTACTTCGATTCCGATTCCGGCTCTTGGCCCTCGACATCTTCTCTGGGAACATGGGGCATTGCACTCGAACTGGCCCCGCATCGCCGATTGATGGCACAAAACATCAGGCTGCACAAAAATGCAGCGCCACAACACGACGTCTCAAAAGCATTCCCGGCAAGGTCCATTTTGAACCCGGAACTGTACTTCAACAATTTCTGGTGGTCCAGGTAAATTCCTTGGAGCTGGAGTGCCTCAGACCCCTCCAAGTATCGCACAGGCTTTGTCAAAAACTTTTGCCCTGCGGGGGTAATGCAAGGAACTTTGTCTTTCACCATATTGCAAAACATCAGCGTTTGGGACAAATCAATGACCCGAAACTCCTTATCGGGAAATTGTTTCAAGCCTTTCAAATACAAGATCTCCTGCTGTCTCTGCGTCAGCACCCTCAGCGCAGGAAAGCTTTGCATGACATCATCTGGAGGTAGCTTGAACTGCGATCGTTCCTGCCAAACCGCAATGTCAGCAGGAAAGAAGACAGGATATTGATATTGGTTCATAGCTACTTTAGTCAAGTTATAACTAGCTACTAATTCTTTGCAATACTGCAATAGTCTTATAGTATAAAGTAAAAGTATAAAGTATATAAATTTGTATAAAGTATAAAGTATAACTGGCTTCTGGTGCTACTGCTACTTCCGAGAACAACTTGTTCAGTTGCTTGTTCCACTTTTCGTTCAAACTTCAAACATGTAGCCCCACAAAGCGATTGAACTGGTGAAATCAAGTTTGACTTTCAATGTCCTCACCAAGCTTTGCAAATGCCTCTTCGTGTTTGCCAATCCATGCTGGCGCGGCTGCTGAAGTCTTTTGGCGCTTTCTGGAGCGTCCCTGATCTGGTGGCAGCGCCCCATTGGATTTGAAAAGAGCTTCGAAGGAAAGTCTGCAATCTGCATTCTCACCTTCCTCCCCGTTCTCATTCTCTATCAAAAAATCTTCTCTTGACTGGCCCATGAACTTCCCTTTGCTCAGGCTGCATTGGACTTCTGGGTGACTTTGTGGGTGAAGAAAATCCTCTGGGTCAGTTCCCTCAACACCGACGAAGAAACTCATCAATTCATCTAGCAGCTTGTGGGCATTCTGTTCGTCCATCTTCAAAGAAGATAATTTGAAAGATGACCCCCACAATCTGCCACGCCCTTGACCACTACCAAAAAGTTGGCTATCCAAACGATACACATGAGTCCACATGCCCGAGACGGTGCGGAGGATATGGCAAACGGAAGATAAGTTGGAAGGGCCAACCTCCTTCTTGCTTTTTTTGTCCACAGCTTTATTCGCCAGAGTCAAAACATTCTCCCACTGGAAGATTTCCACGTTGGTGCGAGCCAAATAATAGGCCAGCCCGTGGAACACACCCCCTGTACGCAAAGATCCCTTCAGGGACCATAGTTAGCAAGTAAGTCAGTACAATGTCATTGCTCACTAACAGCAATCAGTAAACCTACCAAGGATGAAAAACAAAAACAACTCATCAAATCCGGTACTTAAAATCTAGAATCTAAATCCTAAAACCTAAAGTCTACTTGTGATGGTCTTTGTGACGACTCTGTGTCTTGAATTCTTGAAGTTTTTCAACACCCCAAAAAAGCCTGAGCAACGCAGAGGCGATGTTTGGTTGAACTCTGATTTGGGTGCAAAGAGCTAGCATCATCACAAGGAAAGCCAGCCGCAGCCCAATCCACACTAGGAACCCTGTGCCAATTCTGTGATTTCACAAACATTCTACCATCATGTTTTTCCATATCCAAGACGTCTGTGAAGCAGTACTTCATGTCAAAGAAATCTTGTAGAAAAGCTCTCTTTTCATCTTCAACCTCGCATGAGAAAGAGTGAGCGAAGGTCGGCATGCTGCACCCGGAGCCGGCAAACAAAGTGTCAGCCGCAGCCGCCATGAATGCTTCATACACAAGTACTGGAGCATCTGTGCCAGAGCAGAAGGTCCCAGCCAGAAAGCTGTCACATTCTGATTTCTTCTCAATCCTTGTGAGACTTGCCGGAAAGAATGTTACTTCAGAAAGGCTCGTGAATTTTAGTTTAACAAATTTTATGGTCCGTAAGTCAGTATTCAATTTCAGAACACAAATTGACCAAAATGTAAAGTAAACTAACTAAACCAAGCAAATCTTTCGAAAAACCAGCCAGATGGCAAATACTGCTTCAGCGCATATTGCTGGTGGTTCGGTAACCCCACAAGCCACTGAGCGAGAAGTTGCTGCAAACGGTGTGGCCCTGCGGCAATCTTACCCCAAGAGCAAGTTTCCGGGGCAAGGACTGATGGCTCAACACGTGGAACTAGTCCCTGCTTCCAAGCGCCAATGACATCTAGATTGCTTCCTGCCATTGCGGACGAAGGGACTTGCAGATTCTCTATTTGGAATCCTTTTGCCTTTGTGGAAAAACATATCTATAGCCTAACTATACTATAGTGACTATAGACTCTAGACTCTAGATGTCAAAAGTACAAAAAGTGTATAGTTTTTAGTTTTTAGCTCACTATTCTATCTCATAGTCATGGTGCTGTTACCTTTAAAAGATGAGTTTCACCACTACACAAGAAGCCTATATCATATATACCAATTCAATATAACTATATACTAACTATAATATACTCTACATGTCTATAGCAGTCTATGGTCGAGTCTACTATTACTATCTATATATTCTAATTTATAATTATATAAATTATTTTAACATACTTAGTGACATTGCTGCTTCATGCGGCTACTGGCACCGACTTCTGACTTCTGATTTCTGACTTCTTTGTGCAAGTCTAGCTCGGCACTGAAGGTTTGACGCGCAATGATAACTGAGCTTGAGTAGTAAGTAAGTAAGTCTTACTATGCGAAAACGATGAATATGAGTTGAGTGAAGCTTCGGAGTTCACAGCGGTTCACAAACAGACGATGTGCCACTACCGGGGCCCTGCCATGTGCAGCCAAGAGGAACAGCTAAATGATTCTACCATTTAATAAATAATGTTTTGGTGGGGTTTGATCTCAACCTTTGGAAAAGCGAACATAGAGTTAAAATTAATCCTACATCAATTTCCAACGGTTCAGATTCAGATTGATTGATTGCTTAAAGATAGATATATTCAGGGGGCCCAAACACTATCCGAACCGTTGGAAAAATATATAGTCTATTCGGGGTTTATTTCCAAAGGTTGAGATAATCTTGGATCCCAAACTTTGCTTGATAATGCCATATCATATACACATATATTCCCCTTGGCCACAAGAGTGTTCCGCATCATTGCATCACTTTTTCAAGCGCTCAAACGGAACTCAGAAAGTTTCCCAACGCTGCCTGAATGACCAGTTCACAGTTCGTTGCTAGGGTGTTGGTTTGGGTCTGCATCATATTTATACCTGAATCTAATCATATCTAAGAATCTAATCTAATCAAATCTACTTTCCAAGCCAAGTCCAAGTCTGTAATTTGTAGGATTCTAAGACTTCTAAAAACGGAGTCCTTTGTCATTTCTGTCCAAATTAAAGTTCTGCCCTGGCACATCTGGAATTTTATATTCAAGATTCTAGATGCTAGATTCCTACACTAACACATGTTTGAAATTCGACTGGCAAGAGCTTTGCCAGGCAACTTCTTATTTATATGCTTATCTTTTTCTGATGGCTCATGAAGAACTTAAGAAACCAGAAACGGCCTAGGAACATCTGGATTTGCCGAGCAGCAAAGCTTTCGGGCAAAGGTCGCGCTGCACATACCTGAGCAGCCGGAGGATCCTTATTATAAATTACAACATCTAGAATCTAGAATCTAGAATCTAAAATAATATAAAAAATATAAAATATTTCTACTTTAAACTTTAGCCTGTGCAAAAATGGAGGCTTGGAGGGTTTCCAAGTACCAGGTCAGTGATTGGTTAGTTTCTTGGAAACAATGGTGTGTATGGAGGGCTTCCAAAGCTCAAGGACTCCTCTACAGTTTTACACTTGTACATTTTGAATTTTGAATCTTACATGTACACTTACACTACGACTTAGACTTAGACTAGACTCAGACCTTACACATTACTAGTTTGTTTGGCTTTCACACTTTCATTAATGTCACCACATGGGGCTTCCTTTGAGAGACCTTGACATCATTAAACATATTTGGGGGGAAGCTCGTGGTAGTTTGTGGCGCCACTATGTCTGAACATACATCACAAAGTGCTAATCAAATCGAATGTGATCATAGCCAGAACGAAGTAAAATAAAATGAAAATAAAAACTATGATTATTTTTGGCTGTGAGTGACATGTGTTTAAGATTGCAGTATGCATGAGACGATCGTGATTTGGGCTTGTGTCTTCACTTCCAGCATCAATGTAATACTCAACTCTGTAAAAGTTTAAAATGTTGAAACACATATATCATATTCATATTCAATACTATTTATTAACTATTTATACTTATACAGTTACAATAGTGTTGATTTTGAAGAAGACGTTGAGAGTTTAAAGAAGTGTTTAAAGCCACCGTGCAATTGCAAACTGCTTTCTATTCTGAATAGGGAACCCAACTTTTTATCAAACTTATGTTTAGGCTTAAACTTTAAACTTGCCATAGTGATTGGAATCTGACAATCTAAATTAGCACTCATGTGCAAGTTGTCAAGAGTCTGCCCAAGTGCGTGAAGAAAGCACGTAGCCAAAGCTCAATCCAGCACCAGAGCAACGACGATGAGCAGTCACATGCCTAGGCGACAGGTGAACTTGGAAACAGATGGAAAACTGTATATTCGATTAACAAGTAACAAGTATCCAATATGTTCACAATACTCAGGAACCGAAGACTTTGGAAACATATCACAGTTGGAAGTTGGAAGTGTTCAGTCAGAAACGACAAAGGTGACAAAAGGCAAACTTTTTAGCAAAAGAATTTGCAATGCCAAACATGTGGTTGAGCAGAAATCAAATATAGAATGCCGGTTAACTATTGGACAAAAAAAGAAATAAAGTTAATAAAGCATGGCATGGCAGCAACCCAAAATTTGTGTGGCAGAAACCAAAAATTTGCGTGGCAGAAAGCAAAGATTTGCGTGGCAGAAACCAAAAATTTGCGTGGCAGAAAGCAAAAGATTTGCGTGGTAGCAACCAAAAATTGCGTGGCAGAAAGCAAAAATTTGCGTGGCAGAAACCAAAAATTTGCGTGGCAGAAACCAAAAATTTGCGTGGCAGAAACCCAAAATTTGCGTGGCAGAAATCAAAAATTTGCGTGGCAGAAATCAAAAATTTGCGTGGCAGAAATCAAAAATTTGCGTGGCAGAAACCAAAATTTGCGTGGCAGAAATCAAAAATTTGCGTGGCAGAAATCAAAAAATTGCGTGGCAGA